ATCTGTGTGGGGAATGGGTTTTCTTTTGTACTCCACATCTCTGTGTGGGGAATGGCTTTTCTTTAGTATACCACATCTCTGTGTGGGGAATGGCTTTTCTTTAGTACTCCACATCTCTGTGTGGGGAATGGCTTTTCTTTAGTACACCACATCTCTGTGTGGGGAATGGCTTTTCTTTAGAACTCCACATCTCTGTGTGGGGAATGGGTTTTCTTTGGTACTCCACATCTCTGTGTGGGGAATGGGTTTTCTTTAGTGCTCCACATCATTGTGTGGGGAATGGCTTTTCTTTAGTACTCTACATCTCTGTGTGGGGAATGGCTTTTCTTCAGTACACCACATCTCTGTGTGGGGAATGGGTTTTCTTTAGTACTTTTCTTTAGTACTCCACATCTCTGTGTGGGGAATGGGATTTCTTTAGTACTCCACATCTCTGTGTGGGGAATGGGATTTCTTTAGTACTCCACATCTCTGTGTGGGGTATGGCTTTTCTTTAGTACTCCACATCTCTATGTGAGGAATGGCTTTTCTTTAGTACTCCTGTGGGGAATGAGTTTTCTTTAGTACTCCACATCTCTGTGTGGGGTATGGCTTTTCTTTAGTACTCCACATCTCTATGTGGGGAATGGCTTTTCTTTAGTACTCCACGTCTCTATGTGAGGAATGGCTTTTCTTTAGTACTCCTGTGGGGAATGAGTTTTCTTTAGTACTCCACATCTCTGTGTAGGGAATGGGTTTTCTTTAGTACTCCACATATCTGTGTGGGGAATGGGTTTTCTTTTGTGCTCCACATCTCTGTGTGGGGAATGGCTGTTCTTTAGTTCTCCACATCTCTGTGTGGGGAATGAGTTTTCTTTAGTGCTCCACATCATTGTGTGGGGAATGCCTTTTCTTTAGTACTCCACATCTCTGTGTAGGGAATGGGTTTTCTTTAGTACTCCACATATATGTGTGGGGAATGGGTTTTCTTTTGTACTCCACATCTCTGTGTGGGGAATGGCTTTTCTTTAGTACACCACATCTCTGTGTGGGGAATAGCTTTCCTTTAGTACTCCACATCTCTGTGTGGGGAATGGCTTTTCTTTAGTACTCTACATCTCTGTGTGGGGAATGGCTTTTCTTTAGTACACAACATCTCTGTGTGGGGAATGGCTTTTCTTTAGTACACCACATCTCTGTGTGGGGAATGGGTTTTCTTTAGTACTCCACATATCTGTGTGGGGAATGGGTTTTCTTTTGTTCTCCACATCTCTGTGTGGGGAATGGCTTTTCTTTAGTACACAACATCTCTGTGTGGGGAATGGCTTTTCTTTAGAACTCCACATCTCTGTGTGGGGAATGGGTTTTCTTTAGTACTCCACATATCTGTGTGGGGAATGGGTTTTCTTTTGTGCTCCACATCTCTGTGTGGGGAATGGCTTTCCTTTAGTACTCCACATCTCTGTGTGGGGAATGAGTTTTCTTTAGTGCTCCACATCATTGTGTGGGGAATGGCTTTTCTTTAGTACTCTACATCTCTGTGTGGGGAATGGCTTTTCTTTAGTACACAACATCTCTGTGTGGGGAATGGCTTTTCTTTAGTACACAACATCTCTGTGTGGGGAATGGCTTTTCTTTAGTATACCACATCTCTGTGTGGGGAATGGCTTTTCTTTAGTACTCTACATCTCTGTGTGGGGAATGGCTTTTCTTTAGTATACCGCATCTCTGTGTGGGGAATAGCTTTTCTTTAGTACTCCACATCTCTTTGTGGGGAATGGCTTTTCTTTAGTTCTCCACATCTCTGTGTGGGGAATGAGTTTTCTTTAGTACTCCACATCTCTGTGTGATCTCTGTGTTGGGAATGGCTTTTCTTCAGTACACCACATCTCTGTGTGGGGAATGGGTTTTCTTTGGTACTCCACATCTCTGTGTGGGGAATGGGATTTCTTTAGTACTCCACATCTCTGTGTGGGGTATGGCTTTTCTTTAGTACTCCACATCTCTATGTGAGGAATGGCTTTTCTTTAGTACTCCTGTGGGGAATGAGTTTTCTTTAGTACTCCACATCTCTGTGTAGGGAATGGGTTTTCTTTAGTACTCCACATCTCTGTGTGGGGTATGGCTTTTCTTTAGTACTCCACATCTCTGTGAGGGGAATGGGTTTTCTTTAGTACTCCACATCTCTGTGTAGGGAATGGCTTTTCTTTAGTGCTCCACATCTCTGTGTGGGGAATGGCTTTTCTTTAGTATACCACATCTCTGTGTGGGGAATGGCTTTTCTTTAGTATACCACATCTCTGTGTGGGGAATGGCTTTTCTTTAGTACTCCACATCTCTATGTGAGGAATGGCTTTTCTTTAGTACTCCACCATGTTTTTTTACTGTAGCATACATTGGGCGTTTTCCCTCATAGAAAAAGTTTTTTTTTAAATTTGAAAGAAATGGTACAAATGTTTTTTTTTTACGTAAAGAATTAGGATATTTTTCATTGATAACAGAGATACTAACCTTTTCTAAGGCAGGGTCCCACACAAGATTTATTAGGATACACATAAAAGGTGTTATACAAATTTGGGCCCTTGCAGATCTTTTTTAACATCATTTTATAATTGTAGGACCAGACTCCACTGGAAAAGGCACAAGCAGAGAAAAACAAAGGGAACAAGTACTTTAAGGGGACCCGCTATGACCAGGCTATAACATGTTACACACAGGCCATCAGGATGTGTCCTCCCGGCAACAAGACAGACCTGGCCACTTTCTACCACAACAGGGCAGCCGCCTACGAAAAACTGGTAGGTATTTTACAGGGTTTTATGAAACTGGAGTTACCGACAGGCTTCGAAAACTGGTTTGTACATATATGTGCATACCATATATATCTAATGATGTGAACATGTGCCACACAGAAAATTGCTTCACAAAAGTTATGTACCCTATTGGACACATTCCTAACGAATCTGAAGTGGTCTCAGAGAAAGAATAAACAAATTCTGGTCAATTCTGCTGGAGAAATATCAGCTCCATACCTTTAAGCCTTGTGGCTTAAACCATCACAGGCCAATGATCAGGAAGATGTGAAAGCTATATTTGACCACACATAGCTTTGTATCAGGACCACCGATGTATTAAATGTCAGACAATTACATCAGCAATCTAGACTGGTTACCAATTATCTGTGGTGATAGTCAAGTAGAAACAATCAGATCTTACAGTTAGTTGCTACGTATTCCTTTAGTAAATCAGTAATGTAATTATTTACTGTATCATATTATAACTGATGATTTGTATCCCCCGCTTTCACCAAAACGGGAGATATTATTAATTTGGGTTTGTCAGTCTGTCTGTCAAGGTTCGTTTCCGTGCAATAACTGCAACAAATTAAGGGCTTGGCCAAATTTGTCAACCATCTTATTGTTTTGATAATGGGTGTATAAAAGAGAAAATCTGAAATCTGCTACAGAGCAGATATTTTCCCTCTTCACTAGACTTGAACTGGAAAATTTAACAAATCATAAGAAATAAAACATCATATTTCTTTTTTTTTTCAAGTTTCAAGCTATACATTATATCTCAACAGCTCGATACTCACATGTTTAAAAACCTAACCTCAATAATGTTAACCTACAATATGTCCTGCAAGCGGGGGATATAAATTCCACGAAATTGCTTGTTTATATTGATTTGAAAACATCCTGATGGTGAGAGAATAAAATCTGAATTCAGTACCACCCGCCCCCCCCAAAGTTTCCTTTAATGTTTTGAGATAATTTTCTTTTTCTTTAATTCTTGTGTTTCCTACCTTGGTTCACAAAAGCATCTCTTCAGAATTATCACCATATGATTTCGGGCCTTGTTGTGTAGTCCTCGCTTTAACTCTCTCCGTACCGTTGTACACAGGACCACAATGTGTGTTCCAGGGCCCCATTGTTGTGTTCAGACGACAAAAATATATGCTGTCTCATCCCCGTTGTCGTGTATATACACGACAAGAGATTTGGTGTACCGTGTTACCTGTCTTCTGCTGGTTATAGCACACAACAGTCGTGTAATTCAATTAGTTGTTGCTAGAATCAGAACCCATCAGTTTGTAACAAAGATTTTTGAGTACACATTTTTCATCATCTGATCTTACCACAAGATGTTGCGTTTGGTGGTCACCAATATAAACAACATGGTGGCGAGTGATTGGACTTATGGAAGTAATTATGGCTAATTTAATATAAGTCACAATAAAACATTCTTGTAGAAAAAACTTTCAAGACTTTGTAACCAAAATCGATCCCCATTGGGGACCAGCACAGCAAAGCTGTTTTGAATACAATGACTCATTCATTGGCGGCCATGTGTCAATGTCTCAGTCATCACCAGCTGCCTGTGAGTCATAATGCTGCAAAACATGACAATGTGTATGTCTATGAACAACTATTAACATAAAACAATATAGGTTCAGGGGGACTTGTTTTAGGGGAGCCTTTAGACCTGGGATTTTCTTGTCTTGCAAATATAACAGTATTATGTGATAACGCCCTAGAGGAAATATGATGTTTCTCTTTTATATATCTATTCTATCATCAAAACAATTCTATCATCAAAACAATAAGATGATATTTCATAACAAAGAAAACTTATATTGTGGTATAAAAGTAAAGTTGATATAATTGATTATGTAGGAAAACAGAAGATTTTGTAAATTAAGTTGATATTTTATTACAAAGAAACTAAAGATTGTGGTAAAAAAAATGTTGATTTAAATTATAGGGAAACATATAGCTTTTGTATAATAAGTTGATATTTTACAGAGAAACAATAAGATTGTGGTAAAAATTTGTTGATTTAAACTATCGTAAAAGGAAACATAGCTTTTGTATAATGAGTTGATATTTTACAGAGAAACAATAAGATGGTAATTGAGGATTGTACTACAGCACTGGAGCTCAACAACCGGTATGTGAAGGCCCTGACCCGGCGAGCGTCAGCCTGTGAACAGCTGGAGGATCTGTCTCAGGCGCTAGAGGGTTAGTACAGTGTGCCAACAAACATAGTATACAGTTATTGTACCTCAATCTAGGGCACTCTGGAACTTAAAAGTTGGAATCGCTAAAATATCATGTTTGATATGTAATCATTATTGATTGACCAATTATTGACAAATTTTATCAAATGAAAAAGAGTATTTAGGACGAAACAAAATACAAAAGTATTTCTCTCGCTCCATGAGGCAAGGAATAGTCATGTAAAGCAATGACTAAATCAATAGAAAGTTAATCCAGAAATCCACAGGCGAGTAGAGAGGTACTTTTTATGACATCCAACCAGGCACAGGGACTCTTGGTTCTATAAAGTAATCCCTGAAGCAGCTGATCTGTGGTATTATATTTGTAAAGTGTTGTATTTTGCTGTGATTGAGTTTTATGGTTTTATCACAGATGTGACAGCGCTATGTATACTGGAAGGCTTCCAGAACCCCACCTCCCTTCAGACAGCTGATCGTGTTCTCAAGAATCTTGGACAAACCAAGGCCAAAGAAGCATTCCGTGTAAGGGTTATTATCTCCCTTAGACTGTATTCGTTTATATCTCTAGGGTACATCAAATAGAAATTGGAAGTGTTATCTCCCTTAACCTGGTTTTGGTTTAACAAATGGAAAGAGTTAAAATAAACGTGTAGAAATTCTTAATGTTCAAATGTTCTGATTATGTAGTAACTATTCTGGTTTGTGATCAGTAACACACATATTTCAACGTACCATTTTACTGTGTTTCCCAACAATTCCTTTACACAAAACCTGGTATTATAAAACCAAAAAACAAAAATTCACGACCCAAAATTTATTGATGNACACACATATTTCAACGTACCATTTTACTGTGTTTCCCAACAATTCCTTTACACAAAACCTGGTATTATAAAACCAAAAAACAAAAATTCACGACCCAAAATTTATTGATGAAAAAAAAAACCCGCTGATTTTCGAATTTTAGAAGGTTCCTTGCCTTTCAAAATGGCTTCCAGCTCTGTGTTGGCGCTAAATGTCAGCATATGGAGCACAATTTGCCTCCAAATGAACCTTGTTTATGTCATTCTTTGTTTTATATACAATAGTAGGTTCATAATCACATGACCACACGGTACACAGAAATATACAAAAATAAATCAAATCGACCTACCTACCCTTGTTTTTTTGCCCATGCAACCCTAAACAGACTTTTTTTTTTGGGCCTAATACTTAACCTGATTATAACTTAAAACCCCTGTTATAGCATCAAACTTCAATATAACATAGCTGTATAAAGAGAGTTTACTGGGCAAATGTATTTGAGAAATACTATATTTTCCTGTTTATATTTTTAACAGAATCGTAAACCAGCAATGCCCTCCAAACATTTCATCAGAACCTATTTTGCTGCATTTGTCAATGACCCTATTTTAAATGCTGCTAAGACAACCACACCTCCCAAGCCTGTAGAGGATGGTCAGGTGGCTAATGGTGAGGCATCAGATGTCAGGTAAGCCGGTCTCTAGTAAGTCTGTGGTGGGAGTGTCTTTGGTACATAATGTTATAATATATTGTTGTTAAATACATGAAGTTTGTCCACTGTCTTTAGTACAGTAAACTCCTTCATACTGTATACGTAGAAGTATATTTTAAGTCAAAAACTAACAAACAAAAAAAGTTTCCAAGTATTTTAGCTGTGTTTTGAAGCTCTTCAAAAGATGCATATTTTTCTTTTATTAAAATATTTATACATATTAAATGTTCTCTGGATCATGTATTCAATATAGTGATGTGTATACATGTATAGTATTTTTTACTTCAGAAGTTACAAACTCTCAGTGAATAAAGAATGAGACTATGATTTCTGTAAGCTTATATCATTATCATGGTGTGGGAAGATGATTTAAACAATTCTATTTCTATTTGTTTCTCTGTATAGTCCTTATCAGCAAGCTTTGTGGAAGATCACAGCAGAGGAATACGATGACATCATATCATTATGTACACAGGAGCTAGATCTCCCAGACAGCCAATCACAACCCGAGGCCAAGTTACTACGGGCAACACTCTACCTACTGTGTAACCAGTATGATCTGGCACTTGCTGACCTCAAGGTTGTTTTATCAGAGGAAGATATACCTAAAAGAGTAAGGGTTTCAATATAGAATGGTGTAATTACATTTCTCACATCTGATTAAAATCTTAATTTCCTTAAATTGATATTAACATTGAAATAAGAATAGATAATACTGATTTTACCTGAGTTGTGGACAATTTAAATCAGTATTATCTAGTTATAAATCAATTTAGATTAATTATCACATAACCTCGTGTCCGTCGTCTGTACTTCAACAATTCCTTTGAACGACTTCTTCTTCTTAACCACTTATTGGATTGGAAGCATCCCTAGGTGGTGGCTATGGGGATTCACAATTGTACAAATGGTGGGGCTGACCCCCCAAGGGGGCTGAGGGGCGGGGCCAAAAGGGGGCAATTTGGCTATATTGCTTTAAGCGAATTCTTCTCTGGAACTTAGAGACGAATATCAACCATATTTGACCGAAAGCATCCCTAGGTGGTGGTGATTCAAAATTGTACAAATGGTTAGGCTGACCCCTGAGGGGGCTGGGGCCAAAAGGGGGCAATTTGGCTATATTGCTATAAACGACTTCTTCTGTAGAACTGTGCCATGGATATCAACCATATTTGGTCCCAAGCATTCATGGGATGTAGGGATTCAAAATTGTACAAATTTTGTTGCTGACCCCCCGGGCTAAGGGGTCGGGCCAAAAAAGGTTTATTACTTGGAAATGGTTGAGATCCCCACCGTATAACCATATATACAATTGCTGAGTATAAAGAGAAGAATGCACAGTTGCTTAAGGACCTAAGGTCTGGCCCCACCCTTGGAGGCATAGTCTCTGGGTCATAACTTTGAAACGGTTGAGATCCCCTCCCCAAAACTATGTATACAAATGCTTGGCATAAAGAGACAAATGCAGTCATGATATTAGAATAGACCCTAGGGTCTGACCGATCCCCTAGGGACCTTGTTTCTTAGTCACAGCTTTTAAACAGTTGAGATCCCCACCCAAAAACCATATATACAATTGCTGAGTATAAAGAAATGAATGCACATATGCTTCCAGGATGGCCTTGGGGTCTGCCCCACCCTTGGAGACTTAACCCTGGGTCATAACTTCAAAATGGTTAAGATCTCCACCCCAAAACTATATATACAATTGTTGGGCATAAAGAGACTAATGCAGTCATGATATTAGAATTTATCCCAGGGTCTGCCCCACCTTTGCAGAATTAACCCCTGGGTCATAACTTTGAAATAGTTGAGATCCCCACCCCATAACCATACATAAAATTGCTGGGCATGAAACATTTAATACAGATATGCTACAAGGATTGGCCTTGGGGTCTGGCATATTCCCTTTGATCTCATTTGGAGAATATTTTGCCATGATTGCTTAGATATCCAGGTGAGCGATACAGGCCCTCTGGGCCTCTTGTTAAGAAATAAACACTTTATATTGGTAAACAGATATACATTTCACATGGACCCTCGCTATAACATATCTAGCCAAGGTTAACTCTCTACGAGTATAAAACCTACTGTCTCTGTATCTCATTCTAGCTAAGAGTCAATGCCATGATAAAGAGAGGCAGTATCTACATACAAATGGAGAAGCAGACTGAAGGCTTGGATGATTTTGCCTCAGCTGTCCGAATAGATCCTGAAAATGCAGATATCTATCATCACCGAGGACATGTAAGTAATGAGGCAATGCTAATTATCATCTATATACTTCTTTATACCACCTACCGGTAGCATGAAAAATTCATTACCATTGGTTGTCAGTATGAGAAAAAGTTGAACGACTTGAGAAGAACTTGAGAACAAATTTTCTCATTCCCCAGCACTTGGGAGCGTATTTTCTCCAAAAAATTGTCTGCTCGTGTCAGATGACATCCGAAACCGGAAATAGTGTCCACACAAAAGTAATCTGCAAAAGAAAATAGTCTGTCATAAAAATATCAATACAAAGTTATGGGAAAATATTGTGAGAATAACGACACCATTTCAGGTGTAAATGTGATATGGAAAAGCCAATGACGATAGGATTGTTTTAAAAATATTGTTTTCTACAGAGTTTAAAGGTTATTTGTATTCCTTCGCGTAAAAATTCTATTTGTTTACGTTTGTCAAGGTGATCGTTGACCGTTGAGCTTAGAAGTCATTTGGAAAACATGGTGTTTAGTTGAGTTTTTTAAATGGAGAAATATAAAAGGTAGTAGTGTATAGATAATAAATAGTTTATCATACAGTATTTTCAGCGTTTGTCGTGAATACAATTTTCTCATCGCTCGCACGTAGATAAAATCTCGAGTCCTCCTGTGCTGGCCTCTCGATTTCATCCACGTGCTCGCAATGAGAAAATTTGGTGTCCTTGAGATTTTATCTACATGTGAGCGATGAGAACATTGTTCTCACGACAAACACTAAAATACAGTGTGATAAACTATAAGTATCAGCTCTACTGTGCCAACCAATCACCCAAAACTTAAACAGGTCTACATCTCAAGTGTTACAGTAAAGCATTTCTTTGTATTAACATCTCAATGTTTTTCCCCAAGTTTATTTCAGAAAAACATACACTTTGAATGGAATAAAAGTGTATGAACTGTGTTTTATTGTATCTACAGCACAACATACAACTGGAGAGGATAGACGATGCGTTACGAGATCTGGAAAACGCCATCTCAAAGGACCCTACATTTGCTGCTTCACATGTACAGAAATCTTTTGCCGGTATGTTTTCAGATCCTCCTCTAGAAACAATTTACACAAGCTTTCTACTGGTTCTTGTTTCTGTCTTCAGGTTTATGTACAATTGATATAGATAAAGCAGAATAGAACTAAGGAAATTTTACACATGACATAATGTGTAGGTAGTATATCTACAGAGATAGATAGATACCACATGTACAGGTATAATGTGTAGGTTGTATATCTACAGAGATAGAGAGATATCACATGTACAGGTATAATGTGTAGGTAGTATATCTACAGAGATAGATAGATACCACATGTACAGGTATAATGTGTAGGTAGTATATCTACAGAGATAGAGAGATATCACATGTACAGGTATAATGTGTAGGTAGTATATCTACAGAGATAGAGAGATATCACATGTACAGGTATAATGTGTAGGTAGTATATCTACAGAGATAGAGAGATATCACATGTACAGGTATAATGTGTAGGTAGTATATCTACAGAGATAGAGAGATATCACATGTACAGGTATAATGTGTAGGTAGTATATCTACAGAGATAGAGAGATATCACATGTACAGGTATAATGTGTAGGTAGTATATCTACAGAGATAGAGAGATATCACATGTACAGGTATAATGTGTAGGTAGTATATCTACAGAGATAGAGAGATATCACATGTACAGGTATAATGTGTAGGTAGTATATCTACAGAGATAGAGAGATATCACATGTACAGGTATAATGTGTAGGTAGTATATCTACAGAGATAGAGAGATATCACATGTACAGGTATAATGTGTAGGTAGTATATCTACAGAGATAGAGAGATATCACATGTACAGGTATAATGTGTAGGTAGTATATCTACAGAGATAGAGAGATATCACATGTACAGGTATAATGTGTAGGTAGTATATCTACAGAGATAGAGAGATATCACATGTACAGGTATAATGTGTAGGTAGTATATCTACAGAGATAGAGAGATATCACATGTACAGGTATAATGTGTAGGTAGTATATCTACAGAGATAGAGAGATATCACATGTACAGGTATAATGTGTAGGTAGTATATCTACAGAGATAGAGAGATATCACATGTACAGGTATAATGTGTAGGTAGTATATCTACAGAGATAGAGAGATATCACATGTACAGGTATAATGTGTAGGTAGTATATCTACAGAGATAGAGAGATATCACATGTACAGGTATAATGTGTAGGTAGTATATCTACAGAGATAGAGAGATATCACATGTACAGGTATAATGTGTAGGTAGTATATCTACAGAGATAGAGAGATATCACATGTACAGGTATAATGTGTAGGTAGTATATCTACAGAGATAGAGAGATATCACATGTACAGGTATAATGTGTAGGTAGTATATCTACAGAGATAGAGAGATATCACATGTACAGGTATAATGTCTAGGTAGTATATCTACAGAGATATAGAGATATCATATGTACAGGTATAATGTGTAGGTAGTATATCTACAGAGATATAGAGATATACTACCTACACATTATACCTGTCCATGTGATATCTCTCTATCTCTGTATATATACTACCTACACATTATACCTGTACATGTTATATCTCTCTATCTCTGTAGATATACTACCTACACATTATGCCTGTACATATGATATCTCTATATCTCTGTAGATATACTACCTACACATTATACCTGTACATATGATATCTCTCTATCTCTGTAGATATACTGCCTACACATTATACCTGTACATGTGGGATCTATCTATCTCTGGAGATATACTACCTACACATTATACCTGTACATGTTATATCTCTCTATCTCTGTAGATATACTACATACACATTATACCTGTACATGTGGTATCTATCTATCTCTGTAGATATACTTCCTACACATTATACCTGTACATGTGGTATCTATCTATCTCTGTAGATATACTACCTACAAATTATACCTGTACATGTGATATCTCTATATCTCTGTAGATATAGAGATATAGAGATATCATATGTACAGGCATAATGTGTAGGTAGTATATCTACAGAGTTAGAGAGATATCACATGTACAGGTATAATTTGTAGGTAGTATATCTACAGAGATAGAGGGATATCACATGTACAGATATAATGAGTAGGTAGTATATCTAAGGAGATATAGAGATATCACATGTCCACTTGTACAGGTACCAGGTATCTGATGTGTAGGTAGTATATCTACAGATCAAGGTACAGAGATTTATGGTTTCCCTGCCCTTATCACAGGAGTTCCCTCATCTATAAGTAGTACCGTAACAGTATTTCATATATCTATTTTTAGAACACAAGAGAACAGCTATGCAGATGATGGGGTCTAACCTCCCCCTCCCCCAGGCAGTGCTACAGTCCTATAAGGCCAATGTTGACATGTTCCCTACTAACGGTGATGCCCGTGCACTCTACGCTCAGGCCCTTGGGGATGCTGGGAAGTTCGAGGAAGCAGAGATGCAGTTTTCAGAAGCTGTGCGACTTGACCCTGACAATGCTACAGCCCTTGTACACAGAGGGTAGGTGAAACACTTTTTCCTGTTCTGACTGGCTTCACTTGTGATGGAACAACAGTCTGTTTAAAATGAATCATTCACTCTGTTCCCATACAATGCACTACTTTGTTGTATCTGACTACACTACATAAAGGGTCACCGACTACACTCCCAAGGGGTCACCGACTATACTACCTAAGGGGTCACTGACTACACTACCTAAGGGGTCACTGACTACACTACCAAAGGGTCACTGACTTCACTACCTAAGGGGTCACTGACTACACTACCTAAGGGTCACTGACTATACTACTTAAGGGGTCACTGACTACACTACCTAAGGGGTCACCGACTACACTACCTAAGGGGTCACTGACTACACTACCTAAGGGGTCACTGACTTCACTACCTAAGGGGTCACTGACTACACTAACTAAGGGTCACTGACTATACTACCTAAGGGGTCACTGACTACACTACCTAAGGGTCACTGACTACACTACAAAAGGGTCACTGACTACACTACCTAAGGGGTCACTGAGTACACTACCTAAGGGGTCACTGACTACACTACCTAAGGGGTCACTGACTACACTACCTAAGGGTCACTGACTACACTACCAAAGGGTCACTGACTACACTACCAAAGGGTCACTGACTACACTACCTAAGGGGTCACCGTCTACACTACCTAAGGGTCACTGACTACACTACCAAAGGGTCACTGACTTAACTACCTAAGGGTCACTGACTACACTACCAAAGGGTCACTGACTACACTACCTAAGGGTCACTGACTACACTACCTAAGGGGGCACCGTCTACACTACCTAAGGGTCACCGACTACACTACCAAAGGGTCACTAACTACACTACCAAAGGGTCACTGACTTAACTACCTAAGGGTCACTGACCACACAACCTAAGGGGTCACTGACTAACCTACCAAAGGGTCACTGACTACACTACCGAAGGGGTCACCGTCTACACTACCTAAGGGGTCCCCGTCTACACTACCTAAGGGGTCACTGACTACACTACCTAAGGGGTCACCGTCTACACTACCTAAGGGGTCACCGTCTACACTACCTAAGGGGTCACTGACTACACTACCAAAGGGTCACTGACTACAATACCTAAGGGGTCACCGTCTACACTACCTAAGGATCACTGACTACACTACCTCAGGTCACTGACTACACTACTTAAGGGTCACTGACTACACTACCTAAGGGTCACTGACCACACTACCTAAGGGGTCACTGACTAAACTACCAAAGGGTCACTGACTACACTACCAAAGGGTCACTGACTACACTGTTTCTTTTGAGATTTTATTTGTTGTGACTTACTGTGCTGCATGACACATTAACTCAAGACAGATGAGTGTTTGTACCAGGTTTACTGAAGCTGTCATTATTACTGTAAGTTGACACAGCTGAGATTTGTATTGATGTTAAGTGTGAGATTGTCTGTACCAGGTTACTGAATCTGTCAATATTACTGTAAGTTGACACAGCTGAGATTTGTGCTGATGTTAAGTGTGAGATTGTCTGTACCAGGGTACTGAAGCTGTCAATATTACTGTAAGTTGACACAGCTGAGATTTATACTGATATTAAGTGTGAGATTGTCTGTATCAGGTTTACTGAAACTGTCATTATTACTGTAAGTTGACACAGATGAGATTTGTACTGATGTTAAGTGTGAGATTGACTGTACCAGGTTTACTGAAGCTGTCATCATTACTGTAAGTTGACACAGCTGAGATTTGTATTGATGTTAAGTGTGAGATTGTCTGTACCAGGTTTACTGAAGCTGTCATCATTACTGTAAGTTGACACAGCTGAGATTTATACTGATATTAAGTGTGAGATTGTCTGTATCAGGTTTACTGAAACTGTCATTATTACTGTAAGTTGACACAGCTGAGATGTGTACTGATTTTAAGTGTGAGATTGTCTGTACCAGGTTTACTAAAACTGTCATTATTACTGTAAGTTGACACAGCTTAGATTTGTATTGATGTTAAGTGTGAGATTGTCTGTACCAGGTTACTGAATCTGTCAATATTACTGTAAGTTGACACAGCTGAGATTTGTACCGATATTAAGTGTGAGATTGTCTGTACCAGGTTTACTGAAGCTGTCATCATTACTGTAAGTCGACACAGCTGAGATTTGTACTGATATTAAGTGTGAGATTGTCTGTACCAGGTTTACTGAAGCTGTCATCATTACTGTAAGTTGACACAGCTGAGATTTGTACTGACGTTAAGTGTGAGATTGTCTGTACCAGGTTACTGAAGCTGTCATTATTTCTGTAAGTTGACACAGCTGAGATTTGTACCGATATTAAGTGTGAGATTGTCTGTACCAGGTTTACTGAAGCTGTCAATATTACTGTAAGTTGACACAGCTGAGATTTAAACTGATGTTAAGTGTGAGATTGTCTGTACCAGGTTACTGAATCTGTCAATATTACTGTAAGTTGACACAGCTGAGATTTGGACTGATGTTAAGTGTGAGATTGACTGTACCAGGTTTACTGAAGCTGTCATCATTACTGTAAGTTGACACAGCTGAGATTTGTACTGATATTAAGTGTGAGATTGTCTGTACCAGGTTTACTGAAACTGTCATTATTACTGTAAGTTGACACAGCTGAGATTTGTACTGATGTTAAGGGGGAGATTGTCTGTACCAGGTTTCTGAAGCTGTCATTATTACTGTAAGTTGTCTCAGCTGAGATGTGTACTGATTTTAAGTGTGAGATTGTCTGTACCAGGTTTACTGAAGCTGTCATCATTACTGTAAGTTGACACAGCTGAGATTTGTACCGATATTAAGTGTGAGATTGTCTGTACCAGGTTTACTGAAGCTGTCAATATTACGGTAAGTTGACACAGCTGAGATTTATACTGATGTTAAGTGTGAGATTGTCTGTACCAGGGTTACTGAAGCTGTCAATATTACTGTAAGTTGACACAGCTGAGATTTAAACTGATGTTAAGTGTGAGATTGTCTGTACCAGGTTGACTGAAGCTGTCATTATTACTGTAAGTTGACACAGCTGTGATTTGTACTGATGTTAAGTGTGAGATTGACTGTACCAGGTTTACTGAAGCTGTCATCATTACTGTAAGTTGACACAGCTGAGATTTATACTGATGTTAAGTGTGAGATTGTCTGTACCAGGTTCCTGAAGCTGTCATTATTACTGTAAGTTGACACAGCTGAGATTTGTACTGATGTTAAGTGTGAGATTGTCTATACCAGGTTTCTGAAGCTGTCATTATTACTGTAAGTTGTCTCAGCTGAGATGTGTACTGATTTTAAGTGTGAGATTGTCTGTACCAGGTTTACTGAAACTGTCATTATTACTGTAAGTTGACACAGCTGAGATGTGTACGGATGTTAAGTGTGAGATTGTCTGTACCAGGTTTACTGAAACTGTCATTATTACTGTAAGATGACACAGCTGAGATTTGTACTGATGTTAAGTGTGTGATTGTCTGTACCAGGTTTCTGAAGCTGTCATTATTACTGTAAGTTGACACAGCTGTGATTTGTACTGATGTTAAGTGTGAGATTGACTGTACCAGGTTTACTGAAGCTGTCATCATTACTGTAAGTTGACACAGCTGAGATGTGTACGGATGTTAAGTGTGAGATTGTCTGTACCAGGTTTACTGAAGCTGTCATCATTACTGTAAGTTGACACAGCTGAGATTTGTACTGATATTAAGTGTGAGATTGTCTGTACCAGGTTTACTGAAACTGTCATTATTACTGTAAGTTGACACAGCTGAGATTTGTACTGATGTTAAGCGTGAGATTGACTGTACCAGGTTTACTGAAGCTGTCATCATTACTGTAAGTTGACACAGCTGAGATTTGTACCGATATTAAGTGTGAGATTGTCTGTACCAGGTTTACTGAAACTGTCATTATTACTGTAAGATGACACAGCTGAGATTTGTACTGATGTTAAGTGTGAGATTGTCTATACCAGGTTTCTGAAGCTGTCATTATTACTGTAAGTTGACACAGCTGTGATTTGTACTGATGTTAAGTGTGAGATTGTCTGTACCAGGTTACTAAAGCTGTCATTATTACAGTAAGTTGACACAGCTGAGATGTGTACTGATGTTAAGTGTGTGATTGTCTATACCAGGTTACTGAAGCTGCAGGCAGACAAGGATATCAAAGAGGCCACCAATACCATCAACTCTGCACTGGAGCTCGACCCCCGATGTGAATATGCTTACGAAGTTCTGGGAACCCTGGAGGTGCAGCAGTGAGTACCGTATACACTTGTTCATGACCGTATATCTCACACTTACTGACAGCGACCTATTGTTTACTTTTTAGCTCACCTGGCACGAAGTGCCAAGTGAGCTTATGCCGTGGTGCGGCATCCGTCGTCCGTCCGTCTGTCGTCCGTCCGGCGTCCAGCGTCAATATTTTACTTTAAACGACATCTTCTTAATAATTGAAAGGCCTAGGGTGATGATATTTGGCCAGAAGCAAACTGAGATGAAGGGCTACCAAGTTTGTTCAAATGAATGACCTTCAATTATATTCAAGGTCACAGGGGTCAATTGTCTTAAAAAACCTTTAAACAACTTCTTCTGAATAACCAAAATGCCCAGGGTGATGATATTTGGCCAGTAGCTAGCTGAGATGAAGGGCTACAAAGTTTGTTCAAATGAATGACCTTCACCCATATTCAAGGTCACAGGGGTCAAATATGT